GTCTTTTGATACCAAATATATCAACACTCGTTGATAAAAGTGGAAAAACTCCTCGGCAAGGCTCGGTGTTTTTCCACGTTTATCAACTCGTGTTGATATATTTGATATCAAATGAACACTCGGGTGAGATTCTCTATTTATCATCCAAAACTGGCTCCCACAGGAGATATCGCTGCAATGAAATTGTGATCAAATGTCATCACTAATGGCTCTGCTACTGAAGCTGTTAGCAGTACTTTTTACACTTAAGACACTGCTTATAACTGTCTACAACTGAAAAAGTTGGAAGAATGATGTTGTACGATAAATAAAATCTCACCCGAGTGTCCTTTGATATCAAATATATCAACACTCGTTGATAAAAGTGGAAACCCTCGGCAAGCCTCGGAGTTTTTCCACGTTTATCAACTTGCGTTGATATATTTGATATCAAAAGACACTTGGGTGAGATTCTCTATATACTTTATAGCCACATATATACGTATAGTAAGTAGTCTTATAATCAATAATCTATAAGTAGTCGGCGATAGAATATTTCCCAGATTGCTTTATATGTGCGAGTCAGCGAAAATGGTGATGGAATCGTCAGGTTCTGTGTGTACTGTGTGTACACCGACGTGGGGCTTTAATCATGCTATCGGCCACTTTCATTTTCTGACCCAGACTCAACTATTAACGTGTTTCTGGTATTTTCCTGCCCATTGGGTATTGAAACACCCACACAAAACAACAATTTCGACACGCCAAGTGTGTACATTGTACGTGTAAATCTGCTTCATCGACGCCCGCGCCTCTGACCACGTCCCAGGTTCGTTCTGGTGCCAGCTGTAACTCTTCCTAGCACCAGTGTCAGGTAATTCAGAGTCAGTTGTGTAATTTGACCCCGCTTCCAACACAAAACATCAAATCGTCTAAGACTTCTTTTTCCCCTTTCATCGTACTACTAGTATTTCTGGCATGGAGTTAGCAAATTTCTTGTAGAGATTAACCTCTCCGTTTCAGGTTTATTTTGGTATGCGGGTTCACTGGGATTTAGTTCGCGAGTTCTTTTCTACATGGGTGAAAGAACATATTTCCTTTAGACAAACCGAGGCTTGTATTGTAACAGGAGATTGCCACCTTGTTGTCGACTTTTCTGTAAAGTACGCTCTTACGTTTTCAGCCGATACAGTTTCAATAACTTGCCGTAAATGATCCATTGCTGGGAATTGTAAATGTGATTGACGTACTTGGGTTGAAAGACGTCAATTAGTGGTCAATGGGTCTCGTACAATTTGGGAACCAGAGTTGCGTAACCAGCTGTGCCAGGATCCGCTGCTCAGTGGTTCGAATTGCAGAATCACCCGATTAGTCGCTATCATGACGGCAACTTACGCGTTCTGGTGTGCTGGATGGGGTTGGGTTTTCTGGGATTATATTGAAAGCATTATTGTCCCAGAAAATTCATGATAAAACTAATTATGCCTCAGACTGTTGAAAAAGATGTCTGCCACAAAAATCACATTTTGCAAGATACCAAAATATTAAGGCTCATAGTTTTATTTAAGGAATAATCTGGTTCTGAAAAAAATATCTAATCTTCCTACAAAATTCCAGGACCCCAAAGAATATGAAATGGTCGGTCCCCTGCAACCAGATGAACCCCTTTCACCATATATGGACGGTTCAAGATGGTCATATACAATAGAAGGGACATAACTGCAATGTACCCAAGTTTCTTGATACTGTGTATTCAGGGCGAGTCCATTAAGCATGAATCTGTGGTGATCCGGGAAAGAACATACGTCCCGAGCAACCTGTGCTTGTCCTGAAGGGCGACTAAATGTGTGGGGTGGTCAGACACGGTGACTTGGTTGATTGCATGTCATTGTGTCCCTGTATTACGTGGACCGATGCTCATGATGTCAATCACTGGGGTTCTAGTCCAGACTTTATTATTTACAGCCCGCCGTCATATAGACTATTGCGGTGTTAAACAGTCCGTAAAACAGTAATACAGTCCGTATTACGTGGTTCCGCTGTTACAATCAAGCGTCTGCACCGTGTCATGGATAAAATGAACGTTATTAAAACACGTTGTTTTGTTTTTTTACATCATAATCCAGTGGACGCGACGTTAAACCCAATTTCACCTCACCTCATAATCCAGACACTTTGCATGTTCTGTGAGAGATACTGCTCCTATTAACAAGTCGCCTGACATCCCTACGAAATCAGTATGTAAAATTTTTGACTTCCTCATTGATAACATCTGTGTTAAAAATTGAGGGAGGGGTGTGTGTGTGTGTGTGGGGGGGGGGGGGGGGGGGTTTTGGCAAAATATACATGTACACGTAGGCATCCAATGGGCTCCCAATTGTGTTCCTCTTTTTGTTGTACTGCATGAGGAATATGGATGATCTGATATTGTTCAATTACCATCAAATAGGCATTCCCTTCCACTGATTACCCACCTGAACAAGAAACAAAGAAGGCCAGTGAGACCGCCTCGTCTGTTTCGTAGTAGGATATATGCATAAAGATTCGGAGTGGCAATGCACCCTCCACAAGACTGTATGACAAGATGGTTCACAAACTTTCCCTTTTTTAGTCGAGCAATATTCCAGCAGCTCCAGCCTTTGGTGTCTATATTTCTACAACTTTTGATTGGTTGGTTTGTTGTTTAACGCCGCACTCAGCAATATTCCAGCTATATGACGGCGGTCTGTAGGTAATCGAGTCTGGACCAGACAATCCAGTGATTAATATCATGAGCATCAATCCACGCAATTGGGATCGATGACATGCATCAACCAAGTCAGCGAGCCTGACCACCCGATCCCGTTAGTCGCCTTTTACGACAAGCATAGTCACCTTTTACGGCAAGCATGGGTTGCTGAAGACCTATTCTACCCCGGAATCTTCACGGGTCCGCGTTGAAAGATTTTACTGCTGATGACTACAACTTTTGAGGTACAATCGAGCATGTCCTCTCTACGAAGATTTAAAAGGGCGTCATAAGACTCGTGCTCTAACTTGTTTGATAAAGATTACAACATTCAAGTGCTTAGGAGAGCTATCAACAAGTTTTATGTAGAAATGTGGAAACATTTCCAAATTCCATGCGTCAGTGACAAAAATGGTGTCCGATGCAATTCCCTATTTTGACCTTAACATAATTATATTCTCGTGTTTTTATTTCATGTGAACAATTGACTTGCCATTGCATGTGTTTGTAACGGATGCCACCTGTTGCACAGGAAACGTTCACCTTTTTGCGAACACTTGGTATCCTCACTACGTGATAGTGATTCATAAGCATATTTTAATGATAAAATCAGAATCGTAGAATCGACTTTGCTTTGAGTAGATATTGCTTATGAATGTGGAACGAGTTTTGTCGCTTTGATTTGACCTGTCGGTAGTACAAAGTAGCGTTAAGACCACAGTCGAGGGTATGCAATTAATTGTAGCAATGTTATAAAAGGGAGACCCTCAATCATTCCTTTGACCCACAGTCGACAGTAAAACGTCACATCAACTGATTGATTTACCCACGTTGTCCCCTCACACTCACCCCGCCTTGTCGTGGCTACTTGCTTCCATGTTCATCATCGCTTGTCGATCTGCCGGCTTGATCAAACTCACAGATCTGCGGTAAATGTGGATACTATGTTATCGAAATTGTTGATGGTATTTACTGCTTTAACACCATCACGCACAATAATACCATCCGAACGTCTACCTATATGTAACTATGTATCTGATATACATGTATGAAATAAATATGTCTGGATTAAAACTGATTACTCGAGGAAATGTCAATAAAAAATCGCATATTCGTTACAAAACACCAACTATTATTTGACTTTAACAGTTTGTTTGTTTGTTCTTTAACGTCGCACTCAAGCAATATTCCAGCTATATGGAGGTAGTCTGTAAGTAATCGAGTCTGGACCAGACAATCAAGTGATTGACAACATGAGCATCGATCCATGCAATTGGGATCGATGGCATGCATCAACCAAGTCAGGGAGCCTGACCACCCGATCCCGTTAGTCGCCTTTTACAGCAAACAAAAGCGCTGTGTTATGTAAATTAGTGCATATTATTGTACATAACATGCTTCAATCGTAGCCCTTTGTAATTAGCGTGAACCGATGACCTGGTCCCTTGTTCTAGCCAAACTAAAGTTACATAATTACTAAAAACTGTGTGCATTCCAATCAAGTTTCAAATAATGCAAATAGCGCGGCGTTACACTCTTTTATGCAAATTGTGTGAGTGGCGGGTGCTACCGGTAGAACATATCTTCCCGAGGCAAGAGAGTTAACTGACTTTGAAAGTCCAGTTTCCACCCTTGTCGAACTAGGCTGGAATTCCTGGGCTCGATCGTAGCGCCACCAGTGGTTATTATGATTATGTCCTTCTGAGCCTCTCCTATAGACCAATCCGATTCCATCACTTGCATTTGTTTAAAACAAAATGGCGGCGCCAAGTCAAGACGATCTCATCGATAATCATGATTTATATTGTGATAAAACGGGTCTTACTTCGCGAAGTGCATCAACTCACGCGAGGGCCTTGATAACAAACATGAAAAGGGTTGGAAAATATCTGTTGACAACAAGTTGGCCTTGCACATGCTTTGCTAATCCTGCAATCGACCGAAATCTGAACGACATTTTACGAACCGGATTTCGATTTCGTTGTGCGATTTTGATTGGACTATGGATAGACTCGTTAGTCCAGCCAAAATGTAACTCCATAATACCAGCCTAGCTCGCCAAGGGTGGAAACGGGACTTTTATAGTAAGTTAACTCTCTTGTCTCGGGAAGATGGTAGAACAGGACATTGTTACCCTTTTTGCGAACATCTGGTGTCATCGTAGATTTTCAAGGATCCATTCATCTATATTTCATCTCTATTTTCCCTTTTAGACCCAGTGGAATCTGTTTCGGTGGTAAACAGAGACCGATTTTTCTCTGGCGTTAACGTTTTGAATTTTATATCTTTGTAGTTGGTGAAAGCAAGATGTCTTGTGAGCTGTTCCGACTGAACGTCTCCGGACTGAACCTTTCAGACGAGGATGCTGAGAGGATGGTGTGGGATCTGGAAAACAACGAGGCCAAGCAAAAACTGGCCGCCATATTGTTCATAGGCATCGTGTTGTTAGTCGGTTTCCTTGGCAACATATTAGTATGTATTGTATACCATCTAAAATTCGCACCCAGCACGTCCAAGTACTTCATCATGAGTCTGGCGATATTTGACCTCCTAAGCTGCACCATAGCCCTACCAGGGGAGATAATAGACCTGAGATTTGACTATCACTTCAACATCCCAACCTTTTGTAGGGTGATGAGATTCACAATCACCTTAAGTACGTGTGCGTCTGTGGTCCTCCTCGTCGCTATAGCTGTGGATAGATATCGGAAAATATGCCGACCATTTGAGAACCAGATGAGCTTAAAGGAAACAAAACTTTGGATAGGTCTTGCTGTCGGTGTGGCCCTGTCACTTGCACTCCCGGCTATACTGTTATACGGACAGAAATCGGGAACTATTGCAGGTGTTGAAACATCCGATTGTTCCTTCGACAAAAAGTATAGAGATACTTTATTCCCTAAAGTGTATCTTGGAATTACTGGCGCCCTGTGTTTGCTTTCATTCGTCATACTTATCGTTTTGTATGTTTTCATTGTTGTAAAAGTGTGGAAACAAAGACAGAAACGGAAAAGGATGTATATGCTTACTATGAAAGGGAATCCACCAGTGACGTCATCCACTGCATCATTGGCCGAGGCAGCAAAAAAGAAGGACTGTCTTACAGTGAAAACTGTAGAAGCGGAAACGGAGCTACCTGAGAACGGTTCTGCTTTTGATATTCGGCTATTGAACCCTGAAGCGAAGCAAAGGTCCAAAGTCCAGCAAAAGCAAACGATAAAGACAACAGTGATGTTATTTCTGGTAACGCTGGTGTTTATAATAAGCTTCATTCCTCATTTTGCATTGCAGATATTGTCCATCCTTTCTCCAGGGTACGTGACAAAGATTCATTGTTCTCCAGCGGCGTTAGTGGCCTTTAAACTCTTTCTTCGTTCCTACTTCATCAACTGCAGCTCCAACCCCATCATCTACAGCTTCTGCAACGATAAGTTCAGGGCTGAATGCAAAGCCCTTCTCAGTAAATTGTTTTGTATGTCATCACGCTTCAAGGCGAACAAATGATTATTTATTTATTTACAAACATTTCTATAAATATATACACAGACGGATGGATTTGGCTATTTGTACGTTATGAATGTATCAAAACAATTGTTGATCAAATATTTTGCTCTGTCGATGAAGCGTATCATTTCGGCTTAATGTTAACATCACATATTATTTCTTTACTAAATACTTTTATTCGATTATAAATATGTTATTAAATGTTTTCGGGATCACGCTTGTAATCTGCAATTTATCAACCCGATGCTAATAAACTGCAGTCATATATCAAAATAACATTATCAGGTACTTAGTATTATTTTCGCGAACACCTAGTGTCATTACTGATTTATCAGTGATCCATTCTTGCAATGTTCGCCGCTATTTTGTTTTTTATGTCCAATGGAATCTATTTCGGCAGAGAATGGAGACTGATTATTCTCTTGTGTTTGTCGTTGTATATTGATATAATATTATAATGGTTCATTATAGTTCGTATGTATGTAGCAACAATTAAGATCTCTGTATTGTAATGACATCATCTTAATCATGTCTACAGGTGAAAGACGCCATATTTGCTGTGCGTCCTTTAACATTGTCAGGATCCGCAGGTTTCAGATTCGTTTCCTAGATTCGTCCTGATTATGATCCTTGGTCTGACAGCAACCTTACGATGCTCGTGGTTTCACTTTAGGCTTTCCTCCATCATTAAACTGGCACCTGGTTCATTATTCGAGCGAAACGTCGGTAGTTCGAGCCCCTGGCCGCATCACACCAAAAGACGTGAAAAGATTGTACTTGTTGCTACCCTGACTGGCGTTCGGCGTTAAGGAGACACGACATGAACTTCTTGTCTCGGAGTCAGTACAAAACTCAACTCACCCACTCCTTAAAGAAAAAGATTCAATCTAAGCGCAACACTATCATTATACACGTAATATTATATTCTTTGACATTTTGGGAAGATGCCGTTATAAAGTGTCTCCAATACACACGTATACACGTCGTTGTTCGCATTATTTCCTGATCACAATAACAGTTTCAGCAGCTTGTTCCTTGTTCGTAATTGATATGTCTGAAGTAAATCCAATTGTCCATAGGCGTAACAAGTCATGAAACATAAATCATATTTCATACATCATTGATCACCTGTATAATAAAATTGGAGCATGGTTGTGATGCTGCTGATATCGGTCGTGGGATTTCTCTCATAATTTACGTCCCTTTTGCGGCTTTCTGATGGAATTATGTCGTCTTTGACGGAGATCCAGGCTATTGCTGAATTCTTGACACATGTGGCGCGTTACAGATTGAGTATGTGCCGAACGAGGAACTTGTCGCAGGCAAGGGATGCTTGATGTCATTTTTATGCAGGTTTTGAGTTTCCTACCATATGAAACTGATGTATACCTTTAATGGGGTATGAAATTAAGAATTATATTAAAATCCAAACATATCGGTCGGTACTATGCAGTTATTAAAAACATCTTTTCTCAATACTGTAAATATATTGTTGAAAATATTAACAGGTAGCGCGTGTATCTAAAATGATATAAACTAACACCTGCTAAGTTCTGTAATATGCAGCTAAATTGAAATGAAACTGAACCAGGCAAACGAGACGACCATACTTTTCTGTGCGTTTCCACGTACTTAGTGTGGGGCGGTCGGGTAGCCTAGTGGTTAAAGCGTTCGCTCGTCACGCCGAAGACCCGGGTTCGATTCCCGACATAGGTACAATGTGTGAAGCCCATTTCTGGTGTCCCCCGCCGTGATATTGCTGGAAGATTGCTAAAAGCGGCTTAAAACCATACTCACTCACTCCCTCGTACTTAGTGACCAGGACAACCCGGATCTGTATTACCCGATGACAATGCGACTGTAAATTTGTCTCACTCACTCACCACAGAGAAGAGCTTTGAGGTGTAGGTGTCTGACAAATGCACAATGTGATAATAAGAACACTGTCAGTTTATAATTATCATTCAAACAAATATCTACATTGTTCTATCAAATTCAAATCTGATAAATGTGATCCATTCATCCGGATATCCATAATTGTCAACATAATTACATTCTGTGGCCTCTGTCAATGATGTATTTAGGTTTCATTTATTGCCTGCACTGCACATTGGGTAACACTTTGTCACGTTCCAGTAGTGGCCATCGTCATCATGTCTTCAACGCCAACCTTTGACTATTGATTTTCATAATGTGACGGAATGATTAACCCACAGAATATGGTTATTGACAATCCTCTTGACAGTCAAGATCTTCAGGGGCCGTGTCTACTATCTGTCAGTGTCACATTTCCGACATTTCTATCGAAGAATCTCGATAATTATTTTCCAAACTTAATAAATGAAACAGAATTGTCTCGGTGTATTTCAAAAAGAAAGGACTTTGTATGATGCGTTTATAAACTGACGGGCAAAAGAAAGTATTCACCCATGTTTGATAGTTGCTAAAAATGAAACAAACACGAAATGGTAATTCCATGGCATATGGGTATCATAGGCGACATTAGACCATGTATCATGTCAATGAGAATCTCACTTAAGGCGAGCCTAGTAACGTTTTGATATTAACGTTTGTATTTTTTGGTCAAATTCCATTTTCAAGTGTATACTTTCTTTTGCTCGGCAATTTATGTAATAATAATATCATTTCGAAACTAGTTACCGATGGTGTGGGTTGCTGTGATAATAAAAGCGACAAAACCCATAACATGATGATAAGAAATATTTGCTGAAAGCATAGTCCATTGTACGATTTCGACTATATCATACGCATGTGTTTATGAATCACTTCTAGTGATAACGCGAGGTATTCGCGAAAAGGTGAGCCTAACCTGCCCCGATGGAGGCATCCGTCAGAAACACTTGCAAAGGAAAGTCAATTAACCTGACAAAACCCGAGAGCATGTGATACAAGTCAGAATAGCAATTGCATCGGACATAATTTTAGCCACTGATGCCTCAAATAAGAACATATACAAATTTATGGATTAAAAACTTCTGGTTTATTGCGTCTAGTGACGTTTCGACGTATATTCTTACACCGTTGTAAGGCTGGATTGACTACAACCAAGTGATGAGGGGTATGTATGCGTTCTGATAAGCAGCAGATTAACATTAACAACGATTAACAGATAACAAGTAGCACACAGATAATTGGATGAAGACATATTACAGTAGGAATAACAAATAGCACATAGGTAATGAAGTAAGATGTACAGTAAAGATAAGGATTTAAAAAATGTCCAAGTTGATTGGTACTTTTTAGTCTATTGCTTGATTAGATCATCATTGGCAGACGAGATGTAATACCCTGTATCTCTGTTGATCAAAGGTTCGTGACGGCGGATTTCTATAGCTTCAGAGAGTTTTCTTTTAGCCAAGTCCTGATTTTACTCACAAACAGTCTGACCAATAATAATCAAAACATAACAATGTAAAAAATGCAAACAGATTGAGATAGAGAACACATCTTCTTCACATAAAGATGCGTTAACACTGTAATCGGATCACATGCTTACCATATCCGTGCCTTGAATTCCAGTCCATCCATCATTGTGCATTTGTCCATTTGTAGCAGATTGATGGGGGCTTTGGAAATTCAGAACACTGTCAGAAAAACGCGCTGAATACAACAATACTGTGCAATTAGTTTCGCTAACAAGCAATCTATATTTGTGCTAAACATATTTGTTACCAAAATAAATTTGATACTGGATTGGCAAACAATCCGCAGGCTTAATTGAATGCCTCTCTAGAAAACATAATACAATGATTAATAATGTCATGGTGATCTGGGTATGTAGCACAAAAATATGGTCTATATTTGGCTGAATGTAGCTAGACTCTGAAACGAAGAAAGACAATACGTACGTCTAGTTCATTTGAGGGTTTCTTATCAATCATAAGACTCCAATCATGTTCTGTAATGGTGTTTCCTTTTTTGAGACTCTATCAAACATTATCTCACTTCAAAGTTTCTAATCTTTCTAACTAAACCTATGCTAAACAAGTCACCATTTCGCTCTTGAAAACATAGGAGCCGGTGCACTTTGAGTATTCTCATTATCATTTACGGCGATGAGCCATCATAAACTAATGAATAAATTGAGTTCGAAAGTGAGTTCGAAAATACTTTGTCACAAAATTGCGCGGTATATGACTACACTGAGTCACGAAGGCCGGGAGTAATTGACCCCGTCGACAACTGGACTATTTCTGAGTCGTTAGCTTTGTACGTTAAACATTCAAACGCGGAGGTCTAATATACTCAGTAACAGCTTCAAAGATTACTTTCTTTGAAACTGTTCGTGAAGGCACAGTCAAGAATATTTCAGCATTATTCACGGAGGCCTGTAAAGCTAGTAGTTGATATTATGAAACAAGCTGTCGGGATACGAGACGAGCAGTTAAATAAGACTGACCGCGTGATCTCAATAAGAATCGCCCCCCACGACAATCAGTAGGGTGGTGGGGAGTAATATTTCAGCTGGGCCTCTGTACGGGCCTGATGCTAGAAAATATCACCGATGCATGTTGTAAGTACAAACAAAAGCTACATGCAACTTGATAAAAATAACCCTGGTCGGAATCAGAAATATAAATTATCTGAAGATTTCCAAGACCACACACACGAGACATCCAACTCCCGTCTACAACTCCTTCTGTACCAACACAGACAGAGGTACTTGTACGCCGGTGTGAAGACAGCATGACACATTAGGTACTTTCAGAATTCCAACAAACCGTTAGCTGCGTGTTACGCATTTCTGGCTAAAAGCTGTCTCCTCCAATAATTGTTTGTTATCGTTGTCTCCTCAAATCCACGTCAGTGCTATGTTTGTGCTCGCTGGATTAGTCTACCAACATGTTTGTGTGGACTACAAGATGAGTGTCACCACAAAGCATAAACATATCAGAAACACGTGTTTGCGCATACGTACTGGAATGCCCGTGTAAATCAGAACGTGTGGATGTAATGCCCATTTCAGCAGATTCCAGACACCAAATTGGATTTACACCGTGGGTATGGGTGTGATACTTCATTTTGCATTTGCTGTACATGAATGCCTCGCAAAGAAGTTATGTAGGTCTTCGTTCGTTCAGTATATGTCGTTGATATTTCAGTATAAGTCCAAGTCATCCCGGTATGTACCTTCGCTATCACAGTAGCTCTCCATGCTATCTCCATGTTATCTTAGTATGTGCCCATGGTATCCCAGTGTTCGTCCGTGGGTGTTGCAGTTTGCATCCACGCCATTACCTTTTGCATCCGCGCTACCACAGTATGTATCCGCGCACTAAAAATACGTATTTGTGCATAACAGAGTATGCAATCACGCAATTACATTATGCACTCACGCCATTGCAGTATGTATCATCATTATTACATTTTGCACTTCCGCTATTACATTTTGCACTCATGCATTTACAGTATGCACTCATCCTATTACAGTATGCATCTGCTCAATCATGGTATGCACCCACGCTGCAACAGTATTCATCTGCGCTTCTGCAGTATGCACCAACACTCTTATGCATCGCGCCATTAAAATATGCATCTGCGCTGTGTGTGCATCCAACTCATCCCAAAACGAACCCATGATATCTCCACATATACCTTCTTTTTCTCAGTGAGCATCCGCGTTTTATGAACATAAATACTAATCTTCAATTCTCTCACCTACCATTCATCTTACTCCAGTACTGATCAACGCTCTATCAGTTTTCGTACTTGTTCTAAATGAGAATCTATGTTTTCTTAGTGTGGACTCACGTTTAATGTATGAAGTATTTATTTCGCCGCATCTGTTTTGTGGAAAGTGATTTAGTGAGCTGGGATTAAAACCAACGGTGTCTGAATCTCGTCACGCCGTGTCGTCTTGGTGTGTGGGAGAACCAGCATTGCCACAGGTGGAACTCCTTCCCGACTTGAAACCCACGAGCACGAACCTGGTGCTGACATACCATAGGGAATAAACAGAGTGATCAGGATCTGTGCACATGAAACTCTGTTATATCATTATGATGACGTCACGCTATTACTCTTGCAGTTGATATTCTGAGTCAGGAACTCACTGGCTATTCTGAACGCGCATTTTGTGTAAAACTGACGCAACTATTGTAGAGAAATTGTACATCAACCAGAACATGGTTTAAGTCAGTGAAATCA